TATATATATATATATATATATATAGTAGTACGACACCCGTGTACTACACGGGTTGTTTGAAAAAAATATATAAAATATAAAATAATAGAAAAATCACATATGTTGTTGTATAACTATTTCAACTCTTTAAAATATATTAGAAAGATCATATAATATTCTATAATTATTTCAATGTATTTTTATAGATATTCTAAAAAAAAAAATAATTTATTTATGGTTGGATTGAAAAAGATATAATATGCAAGTGGTTATATTTTCTTAATTTAAACTATATAAACAAGTTATTGTTTACATTAAATAAAATAATATATAAAGCTAAATTTTTTTATTTTGGTTTACACGACAAGATAGTTGTCAAGTAAGCTTTATACGATAAGAATTTGGAGTTGGAGAATTTACACGACATATAAGAATCCTATTTATTTGGGAAGCCTTATAAGATAAGTTAAAGAATCCTATTTAATTTGTAGTTTGAGGATTTACACGACATATAAGAATCCTATTTATTAAGTATTTTATTTTAAACAATTAGGGAATGTATCCGAACCAAAAACCGAAGCATGTAATGTTGCCAAGTAAGCTTCCGAAGCGTGCGAAGCAACCATTTAGGCTCAACACGTTTTCAAATTATATTAAAGAGGGGATATACACACACATAGGGAAGAGATCATATGAGAAAGAGGAATAGTGAAAGAAATAAGAATAATTGTGGACCATTGGATACACATAACTAATGGTTATGATCAAGTCAACATTTAATAAATATATATATATATATATAATTGCTAGCTAAGCAATAAATTTTACCTAATAAATAAAACCTAATAAATTTTACCTATGTGGCAAATCATTAATAAAACCTAATAAATAGAACCTAATAAATTTTATTTATGTGGCATTAATACACCTAATCTCATTAATAAGAAAATATTTCATTACATTTTTTGGGTTAATTAAGACAAAAACCATTATATTTTATGTTAATTGATTAATAATTATATTTTTTTATTGAATAACATAATAGTTAATATTAAAATTAGTAATTATATTTTATACTAAATAATATTTTAAAGTTACATAAAATTATATTTTTCACTAAAATCAATATTTTTTTATATGATGAAGATGATGTTTATTAATAAATTAATTTTTTTTATGTCATAGTAAAATTTTTTAAAATCACATAAGCAATTGTTATAATAAATGTAATATTTTTCAGCTAATTAATTGGTCATGATCAATCAAAATTATAAAAATTATATATTTTTTGCATTTTATGCAATCAATATAGTGATTCGTATACAATCAAATCGTGTGTACTATTTATTTTAACCAATGATCAAATTTTAAAATATAATACTATTATATAATTTATAATTTTAATATTATATACATAAATATAACTTATAATACTATATTTTTAAAATATAATGCAATTATATAACTTATAATTTTTATATTATATACATAAATATAACTTATAATATTTAATTTTATTTATATCTGTGGTCGAACACTAATAATAATTAAATTTAGATGGCAGTAAGGTAAATAAATATATAAATCATAGTCAAATGTATGTTTTTTACCCCTCAATAAGGATATATTAGTCATACACAAACTAATTAATCAACCACTAGTAGTGGATCCCACCACATACCATTACCCCCTCCCCTTCTCTCACACAGTCGAATACACACACACAAATTCAGATTTTTCACGCAGACACACATTTCACACACACACATACACGCACAGACGGCGGCACCACAGCCCACGGCCACCGCCCGCCGCCTCGGACCTCACCCAACTCCGCCCACCATCGCCCGTTCCCGCCAGATTCCGCCGGTCGCCGTCCGTACGCCGTCCGTACGCCGACCGCCACCGTCGCCTTCCATCTGCAACCCACCACACGCCACAAAACCCCTGCCGTCGAACAAGAGACGCTCCAGACGACGACGTCGCGGCCACTGCTGAACGCCTATTGCACCGGGGTGTGGCCGCTGGCATTATGCTCGCCGGCGAACTCGGCCATCCGGGGTGATAAGGTGGTGTTGAAATCGAGTTGGTCGACAATAGTGGAGTTGTGATGGAGACCGGCGAACGTCCACCGGTGGCCGCAGGTTGAACTTCCCGGCGGCGGTCGAGAGAAAATTTCAGCATTAGGGGCTTGCTTAGGTTTTAGGGATAGGAGCTTAATTTTGTGAATTTGACAATTATTAGGGGCTTAGTTGCAATTTCAGCACTTCTCATATATTCCCACTTTATTCATGGGGTGAAATTGTAATTAATTACACTATGACTAATACTTAATATTTCTATTCAATATTTAATATTTCTTGTATTTTTTTATGGTTGAATTTTAACAATATTTTATATAAAAGAATATAATAATAAAATAAGTAATATTTTTTTATATAATTTGGTCGTTCGTTTATCTAAGTTAAAAAAAAAATATCGAACCGGCATAACCGAGTTTTTATAAGTAAAAAAATTAACAATTGAATGTAAATTAAAATTCTCGAACTAAAATTTTAGTTCCATCTTCGATATGGTGCAATCTAATAGTCACTAATGTGTAACCTGTATAACCATAATGTGCATTCATCATACATAAAAATATGTAAAAAAAAAAATTATATTTTTTGTTTAGGTAACCTGTATAACCATAATGTGCATTCATCATACATAAAAATATGTAAAAAAAGAATAATATTTTTTTTTAGGTCGACCGTTTCGGTTATTTCAATTATATTTAAAAAATAAGCCGACAATTAACTAAAATAACTACGATTTTGAAAACCAATACAGTTAGTCGAACCGAAATATAAAGTTTCAAACCAAAAAAATTCATCGTGGCCATTTGATCGGTCGATTTCAATCTTTATTGTGTAATCTGATTTTTCGCAATAAAGTGCAGCGTGTTATTTTCTAAAGTGCAACGAGTTGTTTTATAAAGTTCAATATGTTCATGTATAAAGTGAAACACTGTAATTTTGGTACCTTGCCACGCTTGTGTTTTGCGGGGATAAATGACATGATTGATGTTAAAGTATTATATATATCTATGTTTTTAGATTTAGGTTGTATGGTATTTTGGCTGGAGATTTTTACGATAATTGTGGAGTGTGGTGATAAAGTGCAACGTATTGTTTTATAATGTGCAATCTGATAGCCTGTTAAAGTGCAACGTGATGTTTTGTAAAGTTCAACACGTTGTTTTATACAGTGCAACGTGCTGTGTATAATTGAACTATTGTAATTTTAGTACGTTAGCATGCTTGTGTTTTGTGTGCATAAATCATGTGAATGATGCTAAAGTATTATTTAGATCCCTTTTTTGGAATTATGTTGTGTGGTATTTTTGGCGGGTGATGTGGTCCTTAGTCGTTGAGTATGGCGATAAAGTGCAACGTGTTGTTTTATAAAGTGCAATGTATTGTTTTATAAAGTGCATCGTATTGATATATAAAGTGCACTACTTTATATAATCACATGTAAATATTTGTTTTTCTAAAACTAGATTTAGTACATATAATTGTACATCAATTCGGCAAAATTGTATTTTATGCCCTGTAACTAGGGGTGTGTGGCAAATGTGGACAACTTCTTTTTGGTTTGGCAAAAGTGCCCTGAAACTTGTTAAAACTGCCCAATTTGGGTACAAATTTTGAATTTTAACAAGTTACTGTCCTGTTTTGCCACACAAAAAATCGGTCAAATCCGGTAACTTGTAGGTAAATTGGGCACGAATTCCGAGTTTTAACAAGTTTCAGGGCACTTTTGCAAAACCAAAAAGAAGCTGTCCACATTTGCCACACACGCATAGTTACAGGGCACAAAATGCAATTTTGCCCATCAAATTAACCTAAATAATTGAAATAATATATAATTTATTATGATAGAAATATATTTATTATTTTAATAATTCGTATATTATAACAAATTATTGTTATTTATTATTAAAAAGGTATAATTTATTATTAAAAAGGTATAATTTATTATTGATTATTATAATATTTTTTATATTTATTATTTATTCTTGTAAAAGTATAATTTATTATTTGTTATTATAATCTTTATCTTTTATAATATTAAAAATACATAAAAATAACATCTCACTTAATATTTTTATTTAGTTTTTGAAATTTTATATTATATTAAAAATTCAAAATATTAAAATATATAAAAAAAATACAGATTATATATTGCAAATATGTAAAGTATGTAGATGTGATAAAAAAAATACAGATTATATACATTTTTTGATAAATTACATATTGGGCCCCATATACTAAATTGAAATAAAATAAAAATCCTTTAAATTACAATCAAGTCCTTTGAGATTATCAAATTCCTAAAATGCCCCATCTCCCATGTTACTTTCTTCAAGCCACTGTTGCTTGATCAGCGGCAAGCAGAGGCACATACTCGGATGAGTAAAGCGGTGGGCACAGCCAGTGGCGGCGGCGGCCGGTGGCAGCGACGGCGACGTGTGCACGTGATTGCGAGCTCCGTTATGGCTAATGCAAAGATCCCGATGGCGACTGGTTGTCGGATTTTCTCCGAGCTTTGTGGTTGTGGTTTGATGGCGACAGCGAATCGGAGCTTTGGCAGGTGCGGCGGCGCAGTGGACTAGCGGAGGTGCGGTGACGACTAAGCCGTCGATCAGTTGTGACGCCACCGGGAACTGGGCGGCCGGTGACGGGGCTGTTCATCTTCGTAAACTGCCGTGTATATGTGTGTAATGTGTGTGTGTGTGTGTGTGTTGACTGAGTTATATCTTTGTATGTGTCAGTGTGTGAGAGAGAAGGTGGGGGTGGTGTGCAGTAGCACTACCGTGTGCCCTGACACACCTAGCTAGGTGTGCCAGGGCAAATTTGCACGCGCCCCTTCACCCCAAAAAACTAGAAAATTTAGAGAGTGTAGTGCACATTCCCATTTTTCCTTTTTTAATTGAAAAATGAGATATATTACATAAATTAAAATATCATTAATTATTTATATTAAAAAAATAAAATAAAAATACCAAAATTCATAATTTTTCATTATCTATAAATAGAGACCACATTTGATAGTTTTTTGAGCACAACTAATTTTTTGTTTTTTTCGTAATTATTTTATTATACTGACATATAATGAACATGTTACATAACAAGATGAATATGTTTTCAAATAAGATGAACATGTTACAGATTGCAGATTGAAATAATACATATTCATCTTATTTTATAACATGTTCATCTCATTTTGGTAACATATTCATCTTATTTTATAACATGTTCACCTTATTGTGTATGTAACATGTTCATCTTATTCTATAACATGTTCATTTTATTATGTAACATGTTCATCTTATTCTATAACATGTTCATCTTATTATGTAACATGTTCACCTTATTGTGCATGTAACATGTTCATCTTATTCTATAACATGTTCATTTTGTTATGTAACATGTTCATCTTATTTTATAACATGTTCATTTTATTATGTAACATGTTCATCTTATTCTATAACATGTTCATTTTATTATGTAATATGTTCATCTTATTTTAGAACATGTTCATCTAAATTTCATCTGTGAAAATGTAACATTTTCATCTTATTCTATGACATGTTCATCTTACTCTATAACATGTTCATCTTACTATGTAACATATTCATCTAATTATAGATTTGCATCATAATCTTCCAATAAGATAAATTAATTGTAAAAAATGATAAATTATTTGTGTTCCAAAAAATATCAAATGTGGTCTCTATTTGTAGAGAATGAAAAATTATGAATTTTGGTATTTTTATTTTTATTTTTTGATACAAAATATGAATGATAATATAATTTATATATTATGATATATGAAATTCATTACCCAATAGAAATGGGACACATGTCTCATTTAAAAAAAAAAAAATACTCTACCTCCTTACCTCACGCGCTTTTGAAGGAGTTGTATTTCAAAAAAGGCCCTGGCACACCTAAGTATTTGCGGGTGGCGTGGGGTGGGGTGGGGTGGTTTCAGTGGTATTATTAATTGTATTATATTAGGTGGCAGATTTTTTAAGTTGAGAGTGGGGCCCACCTGTTTGAGTGTACTGTGGAAAATTACTGTAATATCTTTAATGAAGGTATATTTTTGGCTTTTTATGTGTTGTTGGATCGTGCGATCCAATGACTACGATTTATTCCTATTTTTTGCATTAAGGATCATTTTCACCGGAGCGTGACCCTATATATATATATATTAACAAAATTTATAATATTGGGCTTTGGGGTAACAGGGGCCCTAGGCGATCGCCTGGCCCGCCCTACCCCAAGGCGGACCCTGATTAAAAATTCTAGATGTAATATAATTTTTATTTAACTTATAATTTTAATTTTAATATTCTACACGCTAATATATAACCTATATAATTTTACTTGTGTTTACGTACGTGCACGGAGTAGTAATTGCTGTAAACCACTTGTACATAATCATGATTCAAGACATTATTTTTTAACACTTTTACATTCGTAACAAAACCAACGACATACAAATAAGTCTCAGTTTGAACAGCTCAGAAGCGATAGTAGTGAACCATACTCGAACTATGATATATATAAACATACAAAGTCATTATGGAAACAGAGTTGAGGTATTTTAGTTTGATATGCTTTCAATGTTTTTCAAACATTCCACATAAACACCTTACATTACACTTCACGTCATGGCCGACGCACAAATCCACTAACGCGTAATGCGTCTAATTTAGTTACCATGGCAAAAAGGAAAACTAAAATTAAAAATATTAAGCCAATTGAATGCAAATTGTGCGTGGGGTGATGATGATGAGCATGAGTTCGAATCCACTGCCAAATTAAATTTCCAGATTGGAAGGAAACGTAGACGACTTCTTCTTTGTAGTTGTGAGGCTTGTATATAAATATCCGAGCTTTGTCTGCAAGAAAACCAGCTGGTAACTTTAATTACTGTATTTTAGATGCTGTACAGCTGCCACGACTTTAATAGCAAATGCGTTTCTCAATTTCTGACCATTGTCTTAAT